TTTCCAATTGATGAAAAACACTATTTATATAACATATAAACACACATTTTTGTCTACTATTACTTAGTTCTCAGTGATTGACATATAGACCATAAATAATGCATTGATCACCAACTTAGATTAATAATTGTGGAAATATGAAAACAATTGGTTTTTAAATTTAATTTAAAGAAACATAATAGTAAATTATTATTGCATCTAACTATTACTATTTTAAGTATTTAAATGCACAAATGTCTCTTTGAAATTTATATGTATTACTATTTACTTATACTTGTTTATCTTGAAATGATTAATAACTAATGGCTATATTTTATTTAGTTATAAGTACAAATTTGGATGAAGAAATCATGTCTAAATTTTTGGAAACCCTGAACCAAAAATTTGATCCCAATAGTGAATTAGATCTTATTGTAGAATACTTAACAGCCATGACCAAAGTTAATCGATTTAATCTTATTGTAAAGATGTTAGACAACAAAGTTAAAGAAGGTAAGATATATATATTTACCAATTATTTTAGTAGATTTCATACATTTCATCTCTTAATTATTATCAACTTATATTACTTTTTATGTCAAATTTCATCAAAAGTATAATTTTTGTTAATAAAAACTAATTTTAAATTTCTTGAAAATAGTTCTRACTTACTTTTTGTTGATACAGTCGTTATTCTGTTATTCTAATGAAAATTATAGTATATTCATAAAATATTATAACTTTAAGTCATCATATGTTATAATACTTGTATGATTGATTATTAATTCTTGTTATTTATAGATTTAAGTTAATTATAATAATCATTGCATGTATGTTTAAGTTTCTTATAATTGGAAGTAATGTCACTGGACACTCCCTTCCCTCAAGATTTTCATGTCCTGTAATATATTTCATCATATTTACTTATTATATAAATTGTATATAGATAGTAAATTTTTCTTAAAAAAAATATTATATTTTTTATATTTCAGGTTTCCAACCACTTCTAGAACGAGTTCATCGCTACACAAACAATAATTTGTTTTCATCATTATTATGAT